AATAAAAAATATTTCTCAACATTTTTTATTAATTAAAAATCATTACTAAAAAATGTAACAATTGAAAATTGTTGTTAAATAATTTTTCTTTAAATTTAAAGAATAAAAACTATTCCAATAGTTTTTTGTTAAATAAATAATAAAAAGTGATTTATAACATTTTTTATTATAATAATTAATAAAATTATTGTGAAATAGTTTTTTCTTTAAATTAAAAAATAAAAACTATTTGTAACAGTTTATTACAATAATTAATTTTTACTAATTTTGAATTTTTTTTATTAATTTTAATTAGTTTTACTAATTTAGATTAATTATTAGTTTTGAATTAGTTTTATTAATTTCAAATTAGTTTTATTAGTTTTGGTTTTACTAATTTTAGATTAGTTTTATTAGTTTCAAATTAATTTTACCAGTTTTATGAATAATTTAATGTTTAAATTTAATATGACATAAAAGTATCACAGGAAGTTTTAAATTATAAAATTGTAGTTTAAAGAGTTCTATTCATGTTCTATCCTGTTCTGTCTTATCCTGTCTAGTACTATATAAATACTATAATAATATATTATAATTTAAGGTAAATAAGTTATTTTCAATATTTTATTAATAATTTTATTTAATAATAAATTAAACATCATAATGTTTATTAAAGCATTTATTGAATATTTATAAATAGCACTTATTGAATACAAGATGTATTGAAAAAATACCTATAAATGTTAAATTAAAGTATTAAAAAAAAATGCTTGAAAAATTAAATAATAAATAATAAAATATTGCAATATTTAAGTATTTATTTTTTTTATTACTTAATGAATGCAAATTTTTAATATTTATTGATAAATACAAAACTCCATTTAGTTAAACTTTATGATAAGGTAAGAATATATATAATATTAGTTTAATATAAGACTTTACCTTTCTACTTTTATATAAAATAAGTATTAGCTAATTAAAATATAATATTAAATAACATGATATGTCTAATGTAAGATTTATATATATAGCAATATATAAATAAAAATTAATAATTTTAAATTATAAAATATTAATGGAAGTTTAATTATTAATAATTAAATTTAATATTACAAAGATGACCAATGATATGCAGACATTTTTCAAAGTAAAAAAAATTATATACATACTAATAAAGTAAAGGTAAAAATTTAAGTGCAGTACATTTATTGCATCTTTAGTTATTAATTAAAATAAAAATTTATCATTAAATTCTATTTTTATTTGCCATAATAATGGCTTATATACATCTTATAATATTTCAGAAAAATATCTTTTACATATTTTTAATATACTTTTCAAATACTTTTGTTAAGAAATTTAATAAGGCATGTAAATATGATATAAATAATTTGATATTATATAAGGGATTCAATGTAAGATTAGCAAACATAAGTTACATAGATTTACAAAGATTGTGAAACTCTTAATTTTTTTAAAAATTTAAATCATATATTAAGAATATTTTAATATCCAGTGATTGGATTTTATGATCTTAGATTCAATAGATTTATTAAAACAATTCTAATGATAGTAATTTTGTGCTTATAGGATAGATATTTGATATGTAATTATGCTTTAAATATCTAAAATTATTCTATGATACTTTATAATCCAGTGAGAATTTCATGATTATTAGTTCATTGGATTTATTTTATTGAGATGATTTGATAAATTCATGATTATTGGAATGATATTAATCATGTAAGTTTTTAGTACTAAAATTTCAAAAACAGATGATCTATTTGAAGGTACTTGCATTTAACCACTTTTTTGATCACTCTATTGAACTTGTTTAATAGCAAGTATTTGAACAAATATAAAATTAATTTCTATATTACTTCTATATTATATTGAGCTTGTATACTTAGCTTAATTCAAAGCATTTCTTTAAATATATCTTTATTACCATACTTAATTTCAAAGTTATATTATATTTATCAGAAAAATAATACTATCCTTAAATTACAAAATTAAGATGTGTAAGCATATAGTGTTTTTACTCTTTTTTCTAATTTATATTTTAATTCAGTATATTTCAAAAACATATTTTTAATTACTTTATTAAGTAAAATTGCTTATTCATAAATTTTACAAGTATAAGTTATATCAGTTTTTTTTTTAATTTATGAAAATTTAAATTTTAAATTTATATTATGAAAAACATATGTTTTAGAATTATTAGAAAATTTTAATTTATTGGAAATTATATAAATTATGAGATACTTCTTAGATAAGTTTGATTTTAAAAAGTAACCTAATAAGTGAAAATACTAAGTATTTGAAATCTTATATTAAATAATAAAATATGTGTAATTCTTTAGGATTATCACTTTCTTATATGTTAACATACAAGAAATTCAATTTTTGTAATTTCAAATGAAATATGTTTATTGCTTAATCTAATTTCAAGTTCTTGTGACCATTTTTGATCATCTTCCTTTATAATCTTACTTTTTTAAATAATTTTTTTCAATTCTTTTATTATTAATGGACTTATTATATATCAGATATATATTTTTTCTTATTAAATTATCATTTCTGTAATTTGAATTATTAGTATAATAATATTATCCATTAGTGTAAAATTTAAGAAATTTGTGGCTATATTATTCCATATGATTAGTATAATAATGAATATAAAATTCTTCATCTTTAATGTAATAATGAACATAAAATTTTTTATTTCCACCTGTTATTAAATTAACACTTTTCCCAAATTTAACATTTAATCTCTAACCCAATATTTGGAGTCAATTTTGCAATTTTTGTTCAAATAATAAAATACACATATTCTTCAGAATTATCATTTTCTTGTATATCAACAAGAAATTTAATTTTTGCAGTCTCAAATAAAATATATTTATTGTCTAATCTAATTTCAAGTTCTTGTTACCAATAACATTATTTTTTGATCATTTTTGATTGTCTTCTTTCATAATCTCACTTTCTTAAATAATTTTTTTCAATTCTTTTATTATTTTTTTATTAAACTATCATTTCTATATTATTCATTAGCGTAAAACTCAAATTCAAGAAATTTGTAGCCATATTATCCTATATGACTAATATAATAATAAACATAAAAAATTCTTCATCTCTACTATTATTAAGACTTTTTTTCAAATTCAACATTTAATCTCTAGCCTAATATTTGAAGTTAATTTTGCAGTTTTTGTCTAAATTGTCTAAATAATCTTCAGAATTATTACTTTTTTGTACATTAACAAGAAATTCAATTTTTGCAGTCTCAAATAAAATATATTCATTATACAAAGGTTTTTATTAATCAATCAGAAAAAGGCGAAGGCTTTTTATTAATTTATGAAAAATTCTCTTGGATTTTTTTTTGTTCTATTATCGAGGTTTATTGTTAGATTTATATGTATAAAAGTTTAATTGTTAACATATGCACGTTAAAGCTTATTTATTGACTAATCTCAAATTCTTGTTGTTTAACAACATTCTTTTTTGACTATTTTTAATCATTTTTTTTATAATCTTGCTTTTTTGAATAATTTTTTTCAATTCTTTCATTATTAATGGACTTAATATAAAATTCTTCATTTTCATCCATTATTAAGTTAATACTTCTACCAAATTTAGCATTTAATCTTTAGCCTAATATTTGAAGTCAATTTTGCAGTTTTTGTTTAAATAACAAAATATGCATAATCTTTTAGAATTAATATGTCAATAAGAAATTCAATTTTTGCAATTTTAAATGAAATATATTTATTGCTTAATTTAATCTCAAGTTTTACCCAAATAATCCAATAATATTTTTTTTTGATTATTTTTAATCATCTTCTTTCATAATCTCACTTTCTTGAATAATTTCTTTCAATTCTTTTATTATTAATGGACTTATATATACTATTATTTCTGTAATTTGAATTATTAGCATAATGACATTATTTATCAGTGCAAAACTCAAATTCAAAAAATTTGTAGCTATATCGTTCCATATGATTAGTGTAATAATAAATATAAAATTCTTTATTTCTAATCCTTCAAGATCATTACTTTTTTGTATGTTAACAAGAAATTCAATTTTTGCAGTCTCTAATAAAATATGTTCATTGCTTAATCTAATCTCAAATTATTGTTATTTAACAACATTCTTTTTTTTTATCATCTTTTTTCATGATCTCGCTTTTTTGAATAATTTTTTTCAATTCTTTCATTATTAATAGACTTAATATAAAATCTTTCATCTTCACCTATTATTAAGTTAATACTTTTACCAAATTTAGCATTTAATCTTTAGTCCAATATTTGGAATCAATTTTGCAGTTTTTATCTAAATAATAAAATATGCATAATCTTTATTACCCATCAATATTCTTTTTTGACCATTTATAATTCATTTCAATTCTTTCATTATTAATGGATTTATATACATTTCTTTTCTTATTAAACTATTACTTCTTTTTAAGGGTAAAATTTATTTTTTCTTGAAGATAGAATCTGTATACTAAAAGAATTAGTACACTGGATTTAGTAGAATCGATATTAAAAGCTAATTCCATATACTTCATGTCTACGCAATAGTTAATTAATCTTTCTTGCTAAATACATTTTTATAAAGATCAACACATTGAAATATAATTTTCATTAATATCTATTATATAGTAATAAAAAGCCTTATAAAAAATCTTATCATAGTTTTTTATAAAATAATAAGCTTTAACAAATTGATAATGCATTTCAAATTACATAAATTTGAAATCAGCATATTTTTTAGCTCATCTTAAAACTTTTAAGGTAAAATCCATTTCTTGAATATTTGAGAACATTAGTCATCTATAAAGTTGCTAATAAGGATGAACAAATTGATCTAAAATAAAGTTGATTTCATTATATAACGGATCAATTCAGAATTCTAACTTATACTTTTTAATATGTTTGCAAAATAGCATTATTTCTGGTAAAATCTCCTGAATTAAATTACTAGTTAATTGTAAGATTAAATATGGCTATTAATCAGAAAAATCATTTTCAGCAATTAATAAAGATACAACTTCACTTAGTTGAAGTTGTATATTTGATAGTACAAATATCAAAATATTAACTAAATTTTCTTTAATTGCTATTCTTATTTCTGGAATTTTAAGAATGTAAAAGTTTGGACTTTAGAATTTAAACTAAAGAATCTAATTTTAATTCTTATATATCTTAATTTATTAAGAATTTTATCAGTTTAAATTTTCAGATTTCTGATTCTTTTAAGTTCTTTAATTACTGGAAATTTTCTTATAATGTTAAGTTTAAATTTTCTTTCTGCATCTAATTTCTTTGTATATAATTCTTAAAAAAAACCTTTAAGGTAAAATCCATCTCTTGAATATATTTGAAGGCATCAGTTGCTTGTAAAAGTTGCCAATAGGAATAAACAAATTGATTTAAAATAAAGTTGATTTCATTATATAATGAATCAGTTCAGAATTCTAACTTATACTTTTTAAATATTGAATGAGCATTATTTTTGATAAAGTCTTCTGAATTAAATTTACTAGTTAATTGTGAGATCAAGTATAGCCATTAATCAGGAAATTATTTTCAGCAATTAAAAATACAGCTTCACTTAGTTGAAGTTATATATTTAACGGTACAGATATCAAAATATCAAGCAAATTTTTTTTAATCACCATTCTTATTTCTGGAATTTTAAGAATGTAAAATTTAAACTAAAGAATCTAATGTTAATTCTTCATTATATCTTAATTTATTAAGAATTTTCTTTAAATTTCCAGATTTCTAATTCTTTTAAGTTCTTTAATCTTCTTATAACATTAAGTTTAAATTTTCTTCCTACACCTAATTTCTTCTTATATAATTTTTAAAAAAAACTTCTAAGGTAAAATCCATCTTTTGAATATGTTTGAGGATAAATATCATTACTATATATTACATCTTTGGTATATTAGTCACCTGTAAAAGTTGCTAATAGGGATGAACAAGTTTGCAAAACAGCATTATTTTGGCAAGTCTTCTGAATTAAATTTACTAGTTAATTGTGAGATCAAGTATGACCATTAATCAGGAAAATTATTTTCAGCAATTAAAGATACAGTTTCATTTAGTTAAAGTTGTATATTTGACAGTACATATATCAAAATATCAACTAAACTTTTTTTAATCGCCATTCTTATCTCTGGAGGTTTAAAGATGTAAAAGTTTAGACTTTAAAATTTAAACTAAAGAATCTAATTTTAATCCTTATTTTTATAGAATTTTCTTTAAATTTCCAGATTTCTGGTTCTTTTAAGTTCTTTAATTACTGGAAATCCTCAATAATATTAAGTTTGAATTTTCTTTCTGCATCCAATTTCTTCTTATATAATTATTAAAAAGTAGTGACACAGAAAACTGTATATTTTATTTAGTACTTTTTCTCATAACTAACTGCATAATAGCAATAAAAAAGTCTTTTTGTTCAGCTTCTGCTTTGAATAATTCCTGCTCAGTATATTGTCTTTTATCAGGTTTTTTTTCTTTTTCTTGTCAGATTTTGGTGTTTCTTGAGTAAGTGGTTCTTCACCTTTCTTTTCTTTCTTTTCTTTCTTATCAGATTTTGGTGTATCTTGAATAGTATTCGCTTCCTTCTTATCATTCTTTTTACTAGATTCTAATTCTGAAGGTACTACCAGAACATATTTTTCTTTTTCCTTCGATTTTGAATCATCATTTTTTGTTTCCTTCTTAGATTCAGCAGTTTTGAGTGTATTTTAAGAAAATAGTTAAGGTAGTCAAGTATTAATAATTATTATATATTGCTTCAGAAGACTTCTTTTTTTTTTTTTACTAATTATGTTATTTTGTGATATTGTATTTTATATATTTTTTAATTTTTTTTTAACTTATAATGGATCAGAATATGTGTCATATTTTTTGAAGATAGAATCTGTACAATTAAAAAAACTAGTATACTGGATTTAGTAGAATTAATATTAAAAATTTAATTTTTTTTTAACTTATAATGGATCAGAATATGTGTCATATTTTTTTTGAAGATAGAATCTGTACAATTAAAAAAACTAGTATACTGGATTTAGTAAAATTAATATTAAAAGCTAATTCCAAAGAAAAAAAAAATGAAAAAAAAATAAGGTCTTTTTATATATTTTTTTATTGTACAAATTTTATATCAACAAATTTGAACTATATTTTTTTTAGACAAATTAATTTCTTTTGTAAACTATAATAGAAAACAATTTTTATGTTTAAAACCATTAATTTATATTTTCTATTGTTTTTATATATTAGATATTATTATTTCTGATTAATAAAATAGTAAAGTTGCATAAATATAACAATTAAAAATAAATGATAGTTTACTTAATAATTAATAATTTTTATCAGTTTAAAACCATTATTTCTGATTAATAAAATAGTAAAGTTGCATCAATATGACAATTAAAAATAGATAATAGTTTATTCAATAATTAATAATTTTTTTCAATATTATTATTTTTGATTAATAAAATAGTAAAGTTGCATCAATATAACAATTAATAATAGATAATAGTTTACTTAATAATTAATAATTTTTATCAGTTTAAAACCATTAATTTATATTTTTTATTGTTAATTTAATTTTTTATATATTATGATATTATTATTTTTGATTAATAAAATAGTAAAATTACATCAATATGACAATTAAAAATAAATAATAGTTTATTCAATAATTAATAATTTTTATCAGTTTAAAACCATTAATTTATATTTTTTATTGTTAATTTAATTTTTTATATATTAGATATTATTATTTTTGATTAATAAAATGGTAAAGTTGTATTAATATGACAATTAAAAATAGATAATAGTTTACTCAATAATTAAAATTTAAATTTTTTTTTTATATTTTAAATATTATATAATAATAAATTATTTACAGTCAGACCTTGATATACTGATGCTGTTGGTTTAGGTAAAATATATTGTTACATCGAATTATCATTACATAATGAATCATAATGCAAGCCAAAGTCTAATTCTTGGTGGCATTATGCAAACTCTGAGTTTATTTAAAAATTAAATTATAGCTTCTTATTAACATACATTTTATAAAACAAAAGTTGTTCACATTTTGTGTTGAAATAAGAGCTAAAAAATCTAATTACTTGGATGTAATGATGGAAATCCTCTTATTAATTCAGGCTAAGTTTATAGTGCCAACCTGAATTAAATTAGTGTAATCTAAAATATCAGTATATCTTATATAGACTACTATAAAGGGACAAGAGGTGAATATTAGTACATGTTACCAGTGTTGGCATTTGGCTGTGGCTAAGAATTTTTTTGGCCGATTTGACCAGCCAAAATGGCAAAACGGCCAATGGCCAATCCGGCCAAATTTTGGTCAAATAATAAAATACTAATACTTTATTAAAGCTGTATTAACATTTGGTCACGGCCAAAGATTTTTTTGAGCAGTTTGGCTGGCCAAACTGGCCAAATGGCTAAATGGCCAACCCCGGCCAAACGGCTAAGTGCTAACACTGATATTACATTGTGAAATTATATATAATATTGGTATATACAACATAGGGATGTTAAGGTTCGTTTAGGTTTAGTTTAGGTTCAGTTCCTTAAAGTTCCAATAGGTAGAACTCGGGAACTGAGTTTTTATAATAGGTTTGAACTTGTTCAGAACTGGAGTTCAAATAAGGTTTGAACTCTTTATTTAAATATAAAAATCGATTTAATTAGCGGTTGCAATTCAAATATCATGTGATATTCAACAAATAATGGAGGGATTTACGATATTATACGTAGTACATATGTATTTTTTTTTTTCTTCCAATTTTTACGGCAAGTTGTTAAATATTTAAAATATTAAACACTATGTGGAGTATATGTAAATTTATTTTTAATCGTTTAATTGATTAACCTCCAAGTTTAGTTTAATTTTAAAAAATTTTTATAAAAAAACTACGGCTCCACCAGTGCTCCACCAACCGTACCCTTATACACTTAAATTTTTGCCAAAAATTATCTTTATTGTTATATTTATACTGTATATACATTTCACATATAATGTTCAAATACGTAAATTGTATAAGTAATTATATTTACAGATACTAGTATTAATGATTTTTACTTATACCTTTTTTTTCTAACCAGAATTTAGTGCACAAAGTAGCCCTGACTGTTTCTGGGTCAAGTCTATTTCAGGTTTTAGTAATAGTATTGGCTGCAACAGAAAAAAGTTGTTCACATGCAACGCTAGTTGCTTGAATACAAAGGTAGTCTCTCGCCATTAACGATAATTTTGGAAATTCTTGTTGATGTGCCTGCCACCACAATAACGGATCTGCTTTTTCATCACAAAGTAAAGCTAAATATCGGTCTAATTCAGGAAAAGTTTCTTCTAATGATATAGAACTTGCAATAGAAGAAATAGATGATTGGCGTAAATTACTTTCAGATAAATGATACTGTTTTCGTGCAAAATATTCTCGTGTACTACTATAATTATTTTCATCTTGAGTTTTTTTGCAATTTTCACTTGTCACAACATGATAACTACGTAATAAAGCTGTAACAGTGGATATTGCATTAGTGGTTGGTGTTCCTGATTCAAATAAAGTAAGTTTTGTCTGAGGATCTAAAATTGCAGCTACTAAAGTTTGTTCATCAATATATTTCCAATAGTCATCAATCTTTTGATTTATAGATGATGCTAATTCATTTTGACTAAATTCTTCTGATCCAATCAAATCATTCAAATAATCCAAAATTCCTAAAAAAACAAACCGAACATCTGCAATTGTCTGATATCTAGCAGTAGAAAGATAGACTGTAGCTTTTTCCAAAGGCTCCAAAACAGTAAGTGTATCCTATGATAAAAAAAATCAAAGAAATTGTATTAATTATAATGAATATAAATTAATACTAATATTCATTCAATTATTCAATACTGACTTTAATTATTTTCCATTCATTATTGATAGGCATTAAATTTTGAATTTCCTTATTTTCAACTGCCAATAATTGCANAATTATTTTCCATTCATTATTGGTAGGCATTAAATTTTGAATTTCCTTATTTTCAACTGCCAATAATTGCAATCCACGCCACATTTTTTCCAATTTTTTTAACATGTTAAAAGTTGAATTTCATCTCGTCTTACAATCCAATTCTGGTCTCAAATATGTAATTTTTGCGTATGAACACAAATTTTTCAACTGATCGCTAATTACTATTGAATGCTTAATTTTATTCATTAATTCTCATACTTTAATAACTTCATCTGATATCATTTCAAGTTCTTGTTGTGCAGCAAGATTAAGATGAATATGGGCGGTACAACGGTAATGTCTAAAATTTTGAGAATCAAGTTGAGTAATCAATTGTTGTCCAAACGTTCTTCCACACACAATCATAGCCGATTCATTATCAGTTGTAAGAGCCAAAGTTTTTTCTTGAATATTAAAATCATTTAAAACATTATTAATTGATGTTGCAATATTGATTCCAGTATGCCGTTTAGTAAAAGATATGATATCTAATAGGAAATTCTGCAACTTCCATTTCTGATCAATATAATAGATGGTGAGGCCAAGAAATGCATCATTTGTAAATTTACTCATCCACATGTCAGCTGTAAGCGCGATTTTTCCTGGAATTTGAGCCATAAATGCACCAATATTTTTTCTGATTGTATTAAATTTATTTACAACCATTTCCTTTAAATTCTGTCAGTTAAGAACTTGATATCTTGGATTAAATATTTTAAACATATAAACAAAATGAGGATTTTCAACAATTTTAAATGGTTGTAGGTCAGAGATTATCCAATCTACAAAAGCTATATTTCGCACCTGCTGTTCGGTAATTGGCTATGGATCAACTCTAGGAAAATTCAAAGTTGTTTGAGTATTTTTAATTTTATCTATAATAATATTATGTTTATAATAAAGGTGTTTCTTTAAAGTTGATATTCCCATCTTTTCACCATATTTTTGAGAACAATTTTTACATATTTTTTTCCAGAAATTTGTAATTTAAAATAGTTCCAAGCAGAACTCTTTTTGTTATTTAAGTTTTCGTCTTCATTAATATTTTCTTCTTCCTCTTCACTATATAAATTATTCTCATCTTTATCAAGTTCGCCTAGTATCTCAGCTCTTAATTGTTGTAACTGGCTGGTTTCTGCTATGGTTAACTCCATCTTTAATAGTCATAATAACACGTAAAATTTTTTTTAAACGCGTTAGATCAACTTTTAAATAATCAGATGACTGATTATCAATTATCACTTGATTATCATATAATATATTTATATAATCTATTTTTATATGTAAATCTGCATTTATAATTGGTTGAACTAATTATGAACTTAGTTTACATATAGTTCCAAAAATGGAACTGAGTTTCCTTCAAACCAGGTTTGGAACTTTCAGTTTAAGTTCATGAACCTGGAACCTTTAACATCCCTAATACAACAAGGTTTTTTTATTAATTGTGAAATGGGACAACAAAATTTTATCAGTACAGGCAATTATCAGTACATAGAATATTGGTACATCGAAGTCCAACTGTATTTATTATATTAAAAGATTTGTCAAAAATAAAATAAATAAATTAATTAGTTGATTGTTTAATAAATTAAATTTTTTAAACTGAATTACAGTTAAACCTTCATATAATCATTTTTTACAATGAATGAATTATTAGTTATCTTAGGAAACGAAACAAACTGTATAATCAAGTCAAATGTTTAATGTGCTTACATGATAATGAAGATATCCAGCATATTGTTATATGTCCAGGTCATGAAGATGGTTTTCAGCAGGTTGAGTCAGAAGTAACATCCAAGATTATGAAATTTATTAAAAAATCCACATCCTCAACAAAGATAGTACAGGGACAGTTAGAACGTATTATCTTTGAATATAAGGATGAAGCTTTCCCTCTTTTTAAAGAACGTACCCGTATTGAACTTACTAGAGGGCTTATCTCAGATACAATTATAATAAAACTTCGACGCTTCTTGTCTAAAAAAGTAACCAATGAGGTTGTCAGTAGAATTATAAAACATTTCCACAAGGCTTTCAGAAAGTACATATGGAATCCGCGATGCTATGAATTGAATATACTTGAAGCTAAATTGGGCATCACTAAAAAAGACAAGATGAATACTGTTAGAAGCCATTCGTGTTCTATATCTCAACAACTTGACATACAACAGACACAAGGAATACTGGATAAAAATGAACTTGTGCGTGAAACTTTGACATGTTGCAAAAACTATATCCATTCACTTATAACAAAAGGCTCTTCACCTTCACAATCATGGAAAACATAGTCGCAGTATAGTAGGTCCCATGATCACCCTTGCATTGATTACAGGGCCCTGGGCTAAGAAAACATATTCCACATATGTTTACCTGTATAGCATAATAGATCATTCGACAGTGCACGTGTGGGGTATTTTAATAATATGACGAGCGGTTTATAAATTAATAATATTAATTTAATTAGGTAGTTTAGTAATTTTATTATATATTACTTTAATTATTTTAATAAATTTATAAATGTGCTGCGATTAAAAAAAAAAAAAAAAAAAAAAAAAAATTATTAGTTATTCATTAATTATTTTTTATTGAATTACTAGATATAAAACTAATTTTATAATAAATGAATTATAAAAAATTCTAGACATTTATTTATAAATATAATAATAATAAAAAAACAATAATATATAATATATTTATATAGTCTTCAAATATAAAAAAAAAAAATTGTACCTACAGGCTATAGTATCATAAAAAAATCTATATATAACATTTTGATAATTTTATGTATTCGTTCTATTTTATATATTCGTCCTATATACTGTATATAAGTAAATAATATAACACTTTTTTTTTTTTTTTTGATAAAATTATATAAATTATTCATCCAATATAAGATCATTTTGAACATATTTTTCTCTAATCATCATAGATAAAATCAAATCCCCCCATAATAAAAATATTTGACAATTAGGACATTTTCCATTAATAGGTAAAATTTCTTCATATAATTCATTATAAGGATTATCAAAAGTTGAATTTTCTAATGCTTCCAATTTCGTGAATTTTTTTGCAAGACAAGTAATATGATATGACATATTACATTCCATATTTAAACAATTTAAATAATTTTTATGATTATTAAAATCAATATTTTCTAAACATAAATTACAATAATAAGGTGAATTATTATTATTATTATAATTTTTTGTATGATTTAAATATTTTAAATATTCATTTCTAATAAATTTTCTAATAAAATTTTTTTTATAATTATTAAAATCTTCTATATTACCATTTGTTATCCTAATATTTTTTGATAAATTTTTAATATCAAAAAAATTCGTAGCATTGATTTTTAAAGATTTATTTTGTCGTAATATAATAGATTCAATTGGTATTAAAATATGTAAATGTAATGGCCATCTTGACCAAAATTTATCTTTTAACATTTTTGATAATGCTAAAAGTGATGTTGATAATTTATCATCATTTTCTTTAAATTCTTCACGATTTTTTAATTGTAATCTACGAGTTATTGAAGGATTTTGCCAACTCCATTCAAATTGTAATGCTGCTACATGATTAGGAAATCCATAAACGAAAAGTATCATTTCCCATGGTCTTTTATTTGAAGTTTTTTTCGCTCCTGATGCTATTTCCCCATTATGTTGTCGTAAACGTCTTTTTGGATCATTAGTACTTCCTATATAACTGGTTTGTTTATATTTAGGAGAAAGTGAACGTAAAAGGTAACAACAATAAAACTCTTCATATTTCAAATCCGTTGTTTCAAGTTGATGATTTTCTTTTTCCGTCATTATTGTTCCTTTTTATTTGAAGTATTGAGAGTATTGAGGTAAAGAAAAAAGTCGAGGAATACGTTTCAAGTTGACTTGATGAAAACAAAAAGTCGTACTTTTATTTGTTTTGATCTATCACAAATGATGACGTTTTATTCACATGACAAGGGTGTGTCATATAAGGGTCAAGTGATAAATAACACTTCCGGCTCGCATTATAATAATTTTGGCCAGTTGGCCAGTTCATTTCAAAGTATGTAAAGTATGTTCGTCACATTCGACACATAAGATGTCATACACCGCTCATCATCTCCACATATCTAGTCACGGAGTATTATTAATTCTCATTATTAAAAAACCACTGATAAAAGAACGAATATTTTTTTCGCTTAAAAAGGATCGATTTCACATCCCCTTTATCAAATTTATTTATTTGTTTTTTTTATTCATTTTTTTTTTAAATTTTATATTTTTTTTATACTCTCACCGCAAATAGAATATTGAAAAAAAAAGAAAAAAAACTTTTTTACAGGAAGAAAAAAAAAAAAATTTTTTACAAAGAAATTTTGGATATGTAGGGGGAAACGAAAAAAAAAAAAAGAAAAAAGTGATGAAAAAATTTTTTTTTGAAAACATTTTTCGAACTGATTGTTCATAATCACAAAAAAACAGAAACAACAGAAATATGAAGCGAAAAAAAAAGGTAAAATAAAAAAAGTACATATGGTACTTTTTATAGCTTAATTACATTACAACATTTATTGAAATTTTTCGATGACGGTATTTACTTCGGTTTTAAGCGCTCGTACTACACGTTGTCTTACATCATCCTCTCGTTGACGAACGAGATCATTCAACATCTTGATTTTTCGTTGGCTGTCCTCTAACATGCCAATAGCGCTTACCAAATTCTTTTGAAGCATTGTAATTGTCTCTTTATCATTACTTGGAAGGACTGAAGGCAGAAGCATCTCGGCGTAGTTTTTCCCATCAGTGAATTGTTGTTGTTGTTGTTCATTTGGGATGTTGGTATTTGCAAAATTTCTTGGCGGTCGAATACTTGGTTGTGGAGCCATTGGTGGCTGTCTCAAGTCTAAGACCGTTTGACCCGGGGGAAGCGTCTGGACCGGTTCTTGTTTTTTCTTCGACTGGTCCTTTTGAGAAGAGGAAGGCGAGGTGGTTAGATACGATTCATCAGCAGACGATTTGACGGCATGTACGGGACCCGTAGAGATACGCCAACGCAATTGAGTACCAGCACCACCAGTTGCACCGGAATGAGACAATACCCTTTTGTTTCCAGTAATATTTCCACTGGAAAGGCTCATAACTGGTAATGTTGTCGGCGAAGGATTTGGTGTAGGAATATTTGAACCGTTTTTCGGTTCGATCAAGGCAAACTGTGATGGGTATTGACGATAATAACGGCTTGAATCGTTTTCAGGGTTGGCTTCTTTTCTAACTCCCCCAACGATATTTTCGCTTTCTTCTTCTTTCACGTAATCCTTAACCCAATTTTGACAATAACCTACCTGAACTACACTTTTTCTACGTTGATTTTGATTCTGGGTTTGACTCGGATTTGGATTTGGATTTGGATTTGGACTTGGATTTGGATTTGGATTTGGATTTGTTCCAGTTGATTCTGAAGGGCGTTCATGATCATCTTCTTCCCCATCTATATCCATCCATGGATCTTTATCATCCTCTTCTTCTGATCCATCGTCCGAATATGAGGCTCTTACACGCTTACCTCGGTGTTTATCAGCACCTTCATCAACTTCTTCACTTTCAAAGTGAGCTTCATCATCCAATTCTGTAGTATTCCCTCGTGATACTCCCTCGGGATTTGTGGTTCCATCATCGTTAGCAGAAGTATTAGAAGTATTCGTGTTTCTACGTGTATATTTTCTTTTCTGTCGTTTACTTCCGGCACGCTTTATTAATTTTAAGACTACGTCTGATTCATCGTCACTTGCATCCGTTGGATTTCTTTGTGGCAATTGATAATAATCATTTGGTCGTGATAATAAGTAATCGAAATAAGCATCAACATGTACTGAAGCCATCCATTTCTATATTAAATAATAATGATATAGTTTTTTTTTTAAAAAAAAAAAAGAAAATAGTAATAATAA